CTCAAATTTAAGAAGTTTGTCAAATTCTTGTTCAGTTTTGCCTTTTCTCTCTCTAAATTTTTCACAAATATAATTCAATTGTTCTGTCTCTGTTATATCTCAATTTTCTCTCTACTGGAACTTGACATTACAAATTGTTTTATTTAAAATTTAATTGAGTCAAGTTGATTGAATGTCACCCAGCTTTGTATTTGCACAGGATGTAGAATTAAAATTTCAGGTCGCAAAATATATTGATTCTATTATTCTCAATGCTCATATTTTATAGCCAAACTAACTAATATGCACTTTGAATATATGTTTATCATGAAACTTTATAGGGATGCAGATGTTATGAAATAGTGTTGGTCAATAGTTTACAGTGTTCAATATTTAATTTTTTCATGGATATCATTAAGATCTAGGACACAAGCAACATGTCCTCCATGGTAAAGTTAAAAATATAGCACTGCAGAAACTACAAGAACATTAGTTGAAATATGGACCTCAATAAAGTATTATATCAACTTATGTATGTTGTGTATAATGTATGGATTGTATGTAATGCAGCAACTTAGTCACCCTCATGAAGTACTGGACCGGTGCACATTTTTCAGGCTTATTTACACTAAGAAGGATCCTATTTCCAAAGCCAATTAATGATGAAGCGGCAAAAGAATTTGTGAGTTCAGTTTCCAAGCTTAATATTTGGAAAGTAATTGTTTAATAGTTTGAGCCTTAGTTGAATTTTTATTTCTCTTTATTTTACTCGAGGACTAACCATATAAGCTTTTAGATATACATACACATATATATCTAAAAGCAGCAAAAAACCAAAGCTGCTGATGAGTAGCCTGAATAAATGAAATGGAAAATGGGTTTATTTGTTTGTTGTTTGCGTATTGGAATGGTTTGCATGGCTGAATACCAGCTGATTTGTCTTTGTACATATGTTTTGCTCCCTTTGTGTTAATAATGCCACATGTTTTCTTTGACTTTCCACCTCTATTGTAGTAAAAATGCTTATTAAAAAAATTAGGCAAAAGTGAATGGACATCCGCAAATAATTCTTGTGACTACTCATTAGCATCCAATGCAAGCTTTATGTTTGATGCTAGGGTTTTTGGCATAGGATGAGTTGGAGAAACTCGAACAAAGGGAGTGAGGTGACAGCTGATGTTTGAAATAAGTTGTATGTAGAACGATTTGGCCTTACGAAACACAATCAAGTTTGAGGATATGGTGTTGGAATTCGATGGAGACATGTTCCGGGGATACTTAATAAGAAGCAAGGGATTTCTAGTGAAGTCCAATCATTGCGAACTCAATGCGAGGAACAATGTGTTGTTGCCGAACAAGCAAGGATCACTGTTGAACACGCACGTGTTGAGGTGGAAAGAATGAAAGAGGAAACAACTATGAAGGAGCAATAAATGCAACATAGGGAGAAAAGGGTTGAGGACA